ATGTTTCCCTGAGGAGGTGAAATAGAGGACGATTTCATATACATGTTTTGAGTAAAGATTTTTGTATTAGCGCATTCAGTCACTAATTGAAACTAGCCATATTCTAAATGGTAACATATAAAATTCATTAATAACAACATGGAGTATCTAGCGCCAAAAAATTCATGTGAATAAATTAATATTATCAGAAACACTTAACTTTTCAATAAGCAAGAAGTACCTTCTGCTGTTAGAGCAAAAATATCTTTGGGAATACATCATTTGTTTGCAGAAAAAAAACCCAGATTCTTATGCCAACTGAGAACATGGCAAGGACCAATGAAGACAGAGGCTTAGTGCATGTTGTTTGTTCATGTAATTGTCATGTCTATTTTCATCTAGTCCCTTATACTACTGCTTGAAAGTGCAAACATTTTAAAAATCCCTTAGCCAGAGCTTAAAAAAAAAAGAAATTACACTGAACAAGTTGCAAAATGTCATTTTAGTGTAATGCATTAGGAGTAGGGAATACACAATTTCCATTAAAAATGGAAGTAGTATGTTCAGTCTTCAATTACTAAATATTCTAGGACATGCAGTAGGAACTGTGACAAACATTATACATTATGTCGGTACTATGCTTAATTAATTTTTTAATGAATATACATCTTAGATATTAACTACCTTTACTTTTGATGATTATTTGTGAGTACCAAAACTAAAATCCTACTGATTTTAAACCAGAAAAATAACACTAAAATAAACCTGTCCATTACATTTTTGTTTCCATCATAAAACCTATGGAAAATAAGTAGATATTGTAGCACATTGTTGAGTTCAACTGATTTTGAATGTTTCGTAATAAAGACAAAGGAGTGAGAAGGTAAAAAGGAATCCTCACAGAAACTACTGACTATATTGTTCCTTTTTTAGACTGATAACTCTGTACTAATAAACATCCTGTAAGTGACCCAATACTTTCAGTAAGGCAAAGACTGAACTGACGTAGTGACAGAACAGATGTTATCCTCCAAATCATTCTAAATGATGGCAAATGAGATACTCAGCACAGAAGAAAATGAGCAGCATTCATCTGTCCCAGGCAGAATGTTAACAGAAGCCATAATATTTCCAAATCCAAGGTTATGAAAGCAGATGACACATGTAGGAAGATCACTTGGTGCACAAGTAGTGTATAAATTTATTTGCTGAACTCTGAATTTTGATTTTGTAAGGGAAGATGAGAGGTATGATATTACAGGTAGTAATTTTGAAGTGCTAGTTTTAACTAGTTCTTTGCTAGATAAGTTCTAGTTCTGTTGACCTCAATATGAGTAAAACTATTTACAGGACACTCACCTGGATATCTATTAGTTCAGAAATGTATGAAAAACAAACAAAATGAAACAAGAAACCCCCAAATGAACAGAAAAACAACAAAATAAAGATTAAAAATATTAATGCAGACCTTAAAATCTGCTCCTCAGAGGAGCTGTTCATCCAAATCCATCAACATTCTTTTCTGAATAGCTCAAATAATTTCCTAAAGCTTTCTGAGATCAGAGGCAAGTTAGCCCTCACCCAAATCCCCAAACCATCTGGCCTGTCCTACTTAATGGAGTGAGTAGGAGCACCCACCATTTTCAAACTAGTCTAGGATTAGAGCTTTTCTCCAGGAACCGAACAGGCCTTATTGCTCATCCTCAGCCTTCAAGGGCTGCAATCTAGAGATCCTAATCACCAACGAAGTGCTTAGTCAACTAACTTGAGGCAGGACTAGACAGAAAATTTTGCCATGTCTTTGTGTAAAGCAATACTTTCCCTTATACAGCAAAAATTGTAGGAGTCACAGGATTAGAAAGAAAAAAATTGCAAGGAGAGGGCTTTCTCCTAAGGCACATTGATGAAGACATTGCTTTCAGAGGGAAGAATCGTGTGGAAAATTCACAAACTTACTCTAACTGAGGGAGTGGTGCAGTACTGCAATTGCTCACAGCTTCTGTATGGATTCTGTAATTCCAGTGTCAGAACAATAAGGTCATCCTTACCTTTACCCACTGCCAAAATCAGTCTCTGAAAAGAGAGATTCCACTTATGGAAATATCCAACAACAGATCACCAGGAAGGATTCTCTGTGTCAGACAAACTCTTTATCATAATCAACAGCATATCTTCATTGCTTCTTGTAATGAATGCCCTACAGCTATTCAGCGCAGAAGAGCACGTTCTCAGGGATGTTTGGCATTAGTCAAATCTTGGTACTCTGACACAGATTTGATGTGTCAATTAAAGTTAAATACGCAGCGATTGATTTAAATCACAGTTAATTTCTCTTTAGCTGATATGATAAATCTCTGACAGATTAATGAGTTACAGTTAATGGTGGAGAATGGAGCTTGTTGCAATTGTTTTTCATTCATTAATTGAACTGCAAAAAGCATAGATATATGCACTATCCTTGCTGCAGTTCAGACCTGTAATAGTGCAAAAAATCTAGTAAAAAATAGAGTCCCATTATTTGCTATAATAAATAATGTCAGTGAAAAGATCACCAGTGTTTATTAGCATGATAGGCAAAAGGATGAACCATTTCAGTTCAGCCTAAATTTACTGATGATTAAGTATATTCTAGACCATATATTTAAAATGTTTTCTCCCTCTAGTATTTACTCTTTGATGTATTTACAGATGGCATTCAAGTCATCAGTTAAGACTTAATACAAGTCCTTTGCATTATCAGTTTAAAGAAACCAAACTTTTCCTATCTACTCACACAGAACTGGCTGTCCTGTCCAGTCCTGTATCATCCTTTTCTGCACCTTCTTCAACATATTCTTTCTTTAAACATCTGTAACTACAGATGAGGCCTCTCAATGAATGATCTCATTAATAATGGAATTCCAACTATTAAGCATGAGGAGTCCTCCAGATTACATAAACTGTATTTGAATTTCTTAAATGTCAATGTGAATTTCAACGATTTTCTCCTACTTTGATTTTGCGATGACATCAGTAACCTGCACGTAAAATAACTTTCCAATTTGATGGGCTTACTTAAATTTAAATATTTGAGTTTCTATTCTAGGGAAATATCATCAAAGGCATGTTGAAATCATTAGCTGAATAGGTTTTGGTCCGGTCTGACATTTTCAGATATGTAAAGGAAAACTAAGGAAACTCCATCAATTTGCCCAAAGCAACTAAGTTACCTAAAGTGCAGCTATAGTGCTTAAGACCAGTGAATAAATTTCAGATTGAAAGGTGTTATTATCACAAAGTACTGCTATGCCACAAGGCATCCTAATTTTACCAATCAAGGCAGCAATCAAAAGCATGTCAAGTTGCATGTTTTTCAGAGACTGAGATAGTAACTTTAGCAGATCTCACAAGTAAAAATTAAAACTATTAGTGTCTTGTAACATAGTAGCTTTTCATGTACAGCAGTGAGAATGAGCTTTCATTAAAAAAAGTGCCACAGTTAACATATTCAATAAAAATATCCACAAGAGCAATATTTCCTATAGTGACTTACATTTACTCTTAACAGTGTTCTTGAAAACTCTGTAAAATTTCTATGTGCAAATTTTACAATGATTTAGAATAAATGAAGAATCATTTGACTGCATTAAGCAAAATTATCATAGTATTTGGAATGGCAACAGATAGAATTCTGGAATTTATGCACAAAAATTTGTTGACTTGGTTCAAATAACAGCATTCAAAAATTATGAGAGCAGGTGATATTCAGTGTTCAGAAGAGGAGCATATTTTGAAATCTGTCTCGGATCTAGGATTCCACATACAGTGTGTATTAAAAATGCATTAAAGAAACAGTGAGAGTTAAGTAATTAATATCTTGAGGATTTTTGCAAAAGTTTTCATAAAGCTATGTTCTGTATGTTATGGTAATCTAGCTCTATCTATACAAGTATTAGGAAGTAGAAATCAAAATGCTTTTTAAGTGTTCAGATTTCACTGTGTGCTGGAAATTGCTAATCAAAGTGTTAGTACTGGAGTCCATAATGACCTCAGCCTTGGCATAGACAGCAAAGAGCAATTAACCTGACCTCTAATTTTTATCTTATTGAGCTGTATGAAGCAGATGAACAGTATCTTGAACCTCTAAGAAAGCTCACCCCCTGACTGTTCATACTATGGGCAATAAAAGTACCTATGTGCTTATGCTCAGTGTCTCACGTGTCTCAGTTCTTGATGCAATGTAATGAGATGCCAGTATTCCCTTTTGTTTAAAAACAAATGTTTTCCTTTTTCAGAGAGGTAAAGTTTTAAGAAAATATGCAGCCATAAATACAACAATGTCTCTGACAGAAAGTATATACAGCTCCAAACTGAATTCCAGAGGTTTGAAGCGCTTCACTCATCTTTTCTATGAAAGCACCCTTGATTAAGACAGGACTGTCTGTAGGAATTAAGGTGACTCTACTTGTACCTAAGATAATTTATCATAAGGACTTATGTGATCTCCACCATATTTAAACAGAGGAGGAGCATGTGTCCTCCTCAGACTGCTGTATGGCAAGTTGCTGCTCACACAGTTTTCAATAGGGAACTGAAGGGGTGGGTCTAAAATATGTAAGCATTAGAGAAAGAAAAAAGAAACTATTTTAACTACCCTTCCAGTGGGATAGATTCCCACTGGCAAAGAGAGAGAAGCGGGAATGTCCCTGCCAGGATCTGGACAGAGAAAGGAGACTCCATAAAACTCTTTTTATGCTTCTCATTTTGATTTCAAGACAAAGTTGTGGTGGGAGTAGAGTTTTATGGAATTATATGAACTGTACGTCAGATTTCCTTAGCTTGGGATTTATTCAGCTGCTCTGAAATGCATCTTTATTCTTATCCATTGTGTCCCCTCTAATACAACTAGGTATCATTCTGGCATTCGGCTAAGTAATTCTTTTGTCATCCACAGATGGACATGGGATTACACAGCTAAGAAATAAAATAAAAGCTAAATCCCTATGCTTGATAAAGCTTTGCTTGTTTTCTCTTTCATTCAGGATTACCGAGTGAACATCTTTCTCCGTCAGAATTGGAATGATCCACGTCTCGCATACAGTGAATATCCAGATGACTCTTTAGATTTAGATCCATCCATGCTGGATTCAATTTGGAAACCTGATTTGTTCTTTGCTAATGAAAAAGGTGCCAACTTTCATGAAGTTACAACAGATAATAAGTTGTTGCGAATTTTCAAAAACGGAAATGTACTTTATTCCATCAGGTGAGTCTCTAATCAAATGATTTTTTCAGATAGAAGCTGAAAAGTATACATAAGTATTGCTAAAAGACTAGCTAGTCATGCAGAAATATCACTGTCAGCTGTGACTTTTCAATACAGAACTTTGTCAACATTACTGTTCATTATACTAAAATAGAAAATGATCCCTTATTAGGCAGGCACATAGTAAAAAATAACAAGGAAAGGATCTTTCCCATTTTAAAGTATAGGTACTGAGTCTTCAGGAGCTAAGACACTGCAGAGAGCAAACAGTCCTGGAGTATTATAATCTGAGCTGGCCTGTGTATGAGATTCTGTAGCCTCCAATGTCATGACAATCAAATGTTATTTTTTTTCGCCTTTTTGGTTATTGCAGTTGCACTTCACCATGGAAACATGACCTGTTTGAGGAATTATGACATTTAAAGAATAGTCACTTGCTGCTGGAGGTGGATGGAAAAGTGGAAAGTAAACTTTTGAAAAGGTTTAAGAAGCTGTAAGCAGCAATCATTAAGTATTGACAAAATATAGTTGTCCTTCTTTTCTCACCACTTTGCCTATATTAATACAGGCATCAGTCGGCATTTTACCACTGTCTTCAAAAACCAATTGTACTGAGAAACTCTTCGTATATAAGTATGCTAATGCCCCATTAGATATGATACAGATTTGGTATTGAAACAGGGAACCACTTGTACAAAATGTTACACTTTTCAAAATAGGCATACTATTGTCCACTTAGTGTTTAGCTGTGCATACTTTTATGACACTGAATTAGTGACTAATTAGACTATTTGAAGAGACATCAGGAATCTGTAAAACAGTGTGCATACAAGAGAAAAAGAAAACGTTTTTGACTTGCGTGGGTGTATCAGTGGCAAGAGAGGCTTCTTCCTCCCTCCCTCCTTCCACTGCAAGTGGGCAGCACTTTCTCAAGCTTACACAGGGAGAAAGAGTTGGATTAAAATTACTATGAGAATTTCATATCCAAAAGGAGTTCAGTCTGCCACTCTGGAAGCATGATCAATCTTCAGTGTCACAACATGTATCCTGTCAGTGGAAACAGATGGAAAGCAAGTTGAAAGGATTCCTTCTCTGGATTCAAGTAGAAAGTAGATAGGTAGGGTTGGACTCGATGATCTTTGAGATCTCTTCCAGCCAGCCTGGCTGATTCTATGACTCTAGATCTAAATCAGTTATCTCCAGACTGTCTGGGTCATCCCAATCGGCGCTGGCAGTTTTTCCATTCTAACCAAATAACTCCTCCCCCTTGCCCTACTGCCTCCAGATAAGTACAACACAGAACATAGACACCACCACTCAACCGAAGCAAGTCTGAATTGCAACTTCAGTAGAATTCAGACCAAGTTTGTGGTCACATGAAATGGGGTAAAAATCCCAAACATGAGAAATACTATAATATTAAATTGTAAAAGCAAACATTGATTGGTGAAAGCAGATACCAGATAGCTCTTATGTTTCTTATGAATCCGGAAAATTTATATTGTCGTGATTTAACTAAGAACTATTGCAATTTCTGAAACAGATTTAAAATCTTATACTTGAAATCTGTTTTAGTTGTCATGTGCATTCGAGTCAGTTAAAATTTTGATGAGAGGAGACATGCTAATTGCTAACATGCTGATATTTTTAAGAAAAAAAAGAAAAAAATTGGTCTTTTTTCTTTCGTTCACTAATGTCTCCTCCTCCACTAAGTACATTGGAACAATTTGAACAAGAAAATAATGGAAGGTTCCAGTTCCTGCTTCAATGAATACTTAATATAAAGTACTAAAATATTTGCTGAAGCACAAAGTGAAGTCCAGGTGCCTCTTCTCTAAAATGACTTGCTGTATTACCAGCATATTAGTCAGATTTTGCATTTGAAAGTATTTTAATAGAGTGGGAATAGGTCCTGGGTCTGAGTTCTCTCCTCAGACTCTCCCCTTGCAGCTCTGTCTCTGGCAGACTAAACAGAAGTTATAGAGACATTGAATCAAGAAGGTTTGGTCATCCAAAAAAAATAAGGTAAAAGAAATATACAGCCATACTTGCCACCTAATGCCCACTTCCTGTTAGCCCCAATGCCGAAAACAGGGGAATGGATTTAAGAGAGGGGGATTTCTGCCATGCCAGAAAAGCCTTATGTGTAAGGGATTGAACTCAAGCCCTTCAGGCTTTTGTAGAACATTCTGTCAACTGAACTGATTAATGAAGGTACAGTTATGACCCTGATTGACAAACACAGCCAGTGAGGGAAAACATGTGCCTTTACCTCTTATATTCTTCTTTCTCATTCTTCTGAGGAGCATCACTCTGAAGAAAATTATTGTATTTATACAAAATGTGAAAATGCTTCTTTTGCCAATAAGTTGCAAAGTATTTCACAGGAAGCATCAAGAATCATGTGAACCACAGCTGCAGTTCAAAATTACAGACATATTTCAGACTACCATCAATATCATAAAATGTTATCTTAAACCTTTGTGTTGATAGTTTAAGCACCTTATTTTAGGATAATAACACAGGTGACATATGTTATGACATTCTCGCAAATTTGGGCAAATTTTATTTCAAGGATGTGAAATACCGAAAGAGTACAATAATTCTGCCATGGCAAAAAAAGGCACACTGTTGCTGCATTCTATAGACTTCTCATAAAGTTAGGCAGCCCTACTGAAAAATCTGGTTTTGTGAAAGTCTGTTATAATTTTTTCCATGTTTTCATAGTGGGCTGAGTGAGTTAAATGGGCTTAGCTAATATACATCCTTTTTGAGAGCTTTCTAATGAAAACATGTATTCTGTTTTTAATTATTTACAATGTATTCATGCGTTCTTCCTGCACAGTTCTATGGCATTTTTGTGGCATATTTTTAATATTTTTTGTGTTCTTTCAGATTGACTTTAATACTGTCCTGTCCGATGGATCTCAAAAATTTTCCAATGGATGTTCAAACATGTATAATGCAGCTGGAAAGCTGTAAGTTTGTGTAACATATTATCCTATAAATACTATTGCAGGGATTACAACAGCTATACAGGAGGTAGAAAACCCCTTGTAGTGGTACAAGAAGAATTTTCAAAATTAATCCTCTATTTTATGAAAGAAATCTGTGCAATATACATGATTTTCAGAGGAAGAGATTCTTTCATCCTTATACTGAAAATCAACAGTTTTGACTAAGTCTGAAGCTATTGCTAAACTTAAGTATCCAATGCCAGTTTATCTTTATTACAAAATTTCTGCATATGGGGATTCACTGTAAATCTTCCCTGTGTTCACACATACAGGGGGAGAATAATATGAGAGAGCATGAAGGAAACATGAGAATAACTCAAGGAAGCAATTTATTTGATTTTACGTGGAATAAAATTAGCATTTGCTCGCCTATCTTATATTGTACTTATCATCTCCCTTGATATCTTGCTTACAACATAAAAGAAGTTGGAAAGTGTAAAGCAGCTATGTCATTTCAAGGCATATACAAACACTCACAAAAGGACAAATAGCTGTTCGGTCTGATGTTACAATCTGAGCTAACAGAGGATTATGAAGAGGAAGGCACAGATATGCATTAAATTCTCATTTTCCTTGTGAGATGAAGTATTTGGGAATTGTCTTTTCCCTTAAAATGAGAGGACTTTGAAAGAGAGTTCTAGCAGAAAAATCCTCCTGATGATGTGAAGAACAAAAATAAAGTGAAGCATTCTTTGAAAGATTCCAGCAACCTGAAGTTTGTGAAAATTAATGACAGTAAAAAAGCAGATTAAGAAGTAACCATCTTAAAAGTCAGATCTAGATTTAGAGTTTTAGAATCAATGAGTAAAATATTTTTAAAAACTCTGCATTCAGAATGAACATATTGGATTATTTGAAATATCTTATAGATCAGAAACACAACACCCATAATTTGATTAAAGTATTTCTTGGTTTTTTTTCTTTTACTGGAACAAAGTAGCCTCTGAGAGAAGGGGGAGGTAATTATCTGTCAGTCAGTATGTCAGAACTGTTTATTGTATGTATAGTGGTATGCTTTTATAAAAAATTGCTGGGTAAGTATAAAAGCCAGACCTATCTTTGATTACAGTGGACAGATGGTAACATTATGAAGCAGGCAATGGCTGAATCTGAAAGCAGAAATTTTCTTGACTAAAATGGAGAGATCATTATTTGCTGCAATTGTCAAGGAATTTAAGACAACATTATATTTCCAGGATTTAAGCAAAACTCCACAGTTAAGCCAAGTAGATGATCCTACTAATAACCTATATCACTCGTATAATTGATGCGACTAAACTAAAGGTTAATATGAGGCAATTGTATCAGAGTACATACAGATGGAAGGTGTATTCACTATATATAATTGTGCTTCAGAGAGGAAGTATCATAGTGTTTGAACAAGCAAAAGGTATAATTTAAAATACATGTTAAAAAGTTATGAATTTTTTGCTTTAACACCTTCATAAAGCTCAGGTGCATTTTTCCTCTCTTTCAGCCATTGTGAGGATAGGTCAAACAACTGAGCATTCTTGAACAAACAGGCATCTGTTTTGCTTTTTAAAAGCCTTGTGGGAGCCCACAGTTCCCACAAACTGCACCATAGGGAACCAACACTTAGTTGAATAGCACTGTAGACATTCTCCTGTATTTTCCAGCAGGACATTTTTCACTCAAGTCTTGTTTTAATCATTCAATTCAGTGGGAGTAAATTCCTGGCTGCATATTCACATAGTAGAAAGAGGCAAAGCTCTCTTCAAAAGAAGAATTGAACGAAACATGCAATTGGGTGCCTCAAAGTTTTCTATTACAGAGAAAGATCAAATTTGATTTCATAAAGAAGTTACAAGTAATAAAGCTTTCCCCATATTGCCTTGTCTCTTTCTATTTTACCTGTAACTCCAGACTTTGAAAAACAGAGACTATGGGCAAAGAAGCTGGCCCGAGGCAGAAAACTTTGCAGCATGTGGGAGCTCTGGCTATGCTAGAGCTACATGCTGATAGCAGAATAACCAGTCGGGTTTACAATAACAAGGCAGCACTTCCCTGCAATGATTTTGGGCAAGATTCAAAGAAGACAGGTACAGTGATGTAATTTCCAAGATCCTAGACCTTCAAGAACAGGGATTCACCTGTTTCTCTGTACAAGAAGCACAGGAAAGGAAATAACTTGGCGGTGTTAGAAAAGATATCTACATGTTGGGCAGGAGATTAACTAGGTAAAAAAAAAAAAAAGTAGTTTGGATGAGTCTGAACTTTGACCAGTTTCCACAACTTAGAAAAGGGTGAGCAGAAACTTTCAAATTCCAGAGTTTCTGCCTAAGAAAAGGCATCCAGTTCTCTTTAAAATTATAGAAGAAAAAAAGGAGGATGGGTGCATTTGGCATTTTCCCAAGCTTCACATCAAATCTCCTGAGGTAAGAACTGACATAACCCTGAAAGCCTGAATCCATCCGAGCAGCTCTAATTTCTAGGCCACAGTGTCACTCTCCTGTGGCTGTCTGGCTTGCATTTTTTGGTGCACAGCGAGACAATGTAAATAGAGGGATCAAAGCACTAACCCTACTGATTAATGCCCTGTCTGGGGAAGTGGAAGACATAGGGTTTCAAAACTGAGAACACTGTCCTCTCATGTCCTGAGTAAATGTTCTGATCATCAGGCTGTGTAATAAAAATCAAAGTGTTTGCAGGAGCAAAACAGCAGCAGCGATGCTTCCAGATGTTTCTTTTTAAAGCGATGATCATTGCTGTTTTTTCCACTGAGTGCTAAGTTGGATAGGACATTGTAGAATTATGAATTTACAAGCACAATTTATCTGACAGTTTCTTTAAACTGTGTCTGATCTTGCAAGCCTTGCTCCTGCATGTGTCACTAAGCAAATCAGAATAAATCACTCATCTTTTTCTTACTCATCTTACCATCAGGTTGCAAAGACTGACAGTTACTTAGAAGAGACAGATCATAGGTTTTGCATATTTTCCTTCAATATTGATACTCTTGTTCCAGTATTGAAAGGCCTAAGGGAAAAATTCATGTATAGCTTTTCTTCCCAAATGATATTTTCGTTTGTAGCTGGCTCATGTAACGCTTTTTCCAAGGTCAGTCTAAGCAGCTGGATTTGCCCCTGGTAAAAGTACTTCACTTATATTATGAAGTGTCTGAAAAATATTTAAATGGAAATGTCTTCTATTTTTAAAGGATTTATTTTATCAAATGATTTCTCAGCAAATAGAATGAGCTGCTTTTGTATCTTAGAAAGGAAGCAAATGAAAATGCATATATGAAATAATCCCTTCTACTTTTCTATGCCTTACACCAGGGCAGCCTATAGGCATGTGAGATAATTTTAGTTTTAGTCTGCTTGAATAAGATACAAAGAAATGTCAGCTAGATACATATTTATTTCTGTGGCCTGTCTCCCAGGAAAGAAATGTTTTTCTTTCATGTGCTAGAGCTTGTTGTCTCTCTTTTTTAAGTTTCACTTTTACCTCACAGCATTCCTTTATTCATGCATTACATTTATAACTTTATGTGACATTTAATATTCCTGAATTTTCAAAGAATAATGAAAAGACTAACTCAGTTACAAAAAAAAATAAACTATGAAAGGCAACATAGGTAAGGTAGAAATCACCTGCTCACCTCATGATTCTATTTTGATGTTTATTATTAAATTAAACAATGGCCTTTTTCCCCCCCCTTTGATTTGTGGAGACGTTTTAGTCCTTCTAAGCAATCATCCTCCCATCTTTTGGATTTTTAAAGAAAATTCACTCCATACTACATGATGATGGGTTGCACAATTTCATCCTCCCCAGTCTCTAAATTGGAGATTGTACAAGTGGAAAGATGTGTAGGCAGGCCACAGCAACACAGGCTAATGCATTACAGAAAATGATGTGCACACTGTTCTTGTCTCACAGCAGCACAAAGACACCATAAGAAAAAGAACTGGAGTGTATTTCTTATCTGCTAGGGAACCTCAGATCTCTATCTGACAGGAATTATGGGGACACTAGGCCAACACCTGCCCATGCCAGAACATGTAGAAACCATAACTGCTCCTCTCCTTTCCATTTTCATAGCACAAAAGTTGTCAACCCATCCTGTGGTTTCTGCTCTACAGATTGGTGACTCAGCCTATTGTGCCTGTCTGAAATGAGACCTGACACAAATCTACAAATATCTAGGTACTTGTAGTATTCACTTCCTGGCCAATGCAGGATGAAAGGGCTGTAGTAACTGTACAACTGTGGCTGAATGCACAAAAACTCGTATAAAAGTGATAGCTAAAAACCTATAGGCTTCAGCAAGGAATATTGGGTTTGAGAGACATGCTAGAGTGTTGGGCCTGAAATGTTATTCTCTGAAATTCAGGCTAATAAGGATCAACCTGTAACTCCCAAGGGAGAGATTCCATCAGAATGACTCAGAGTGCAAGGGGTAGACCCTTTGCAAAGCAGCTCAGAAGTACATAGGATAAAATCCTGCTTTCTTGGAGCTCCAGCATAAATGTAGCCTTGAAATGAATCACATCTGATTTCTGAAACTAATATTTATAGTGTTCCATGTATATTAGAAGAATTTGTTCTAACCTCAAGCCAAACCCAGATTTGTTAGCTTGGTCATATCTTTGCCTGATACCTTCCTTGGAATTTAGGGTCCAATTCAAATGTCTGTCATGCTCTTAGGAACAGTAATGCACAGGCAGCATATCCTGGAGGCACACTGCTGGGATGCCTAACAGAAGAGCAGTGAAGCAACTCTAGTCAACATGACTGCAGTCCTTGCCTCAGCTGGATACCTAGCAAACTGCTTGGTTTGTTGGCTAAATCCAATGTTACTTTTGGACCTGTACCTTACTAAAAATTAAAGAAACCAGAATGGAATGTAGATAATCACTGAGATTAAAAACTACAAAATATATTCTGCAGTTGTACAAACCACTAGATATTCAGCCCAGTTTTTTCATGCCATTCAT